CAACATATGGTATCTATGTAACATCGAGAAGCATGAAGTGGAGCTCCCATGCAAAACCCAATGAACTTTAGGCCAACTCAATTCGTCATAGCTCCGATGTGGCAATTTTCTAGCGCGTCGATCAGAACGGTTCCCATAAACATCGTTATCTCTCGTATCAGATTATTCGTGTAAGAAGATGCAAGACAAGGAGCTTGACCATATCCATGGGGACTTAACGTAACGTTTTTTATTGCCGATTTTCTCGAAATCTAAGAGGTATATTGGCCAAACTGACTTAAAATTCGGATTGTGCGGGTCGAAATACCTAGCCATAGGTAGGTCCGATCAATATCACACATCACAATAATTTTTTTTTTGTGTACCGGTGTAATCCCTTAAAACCTATTTGTATACCCAATGCAATGAAAGGGTATGGAATTGTGATAGATCGGAAAATCGAGACCGGGTGACTTCTATGTTATATCCTCATCCCACAAGCAAGATGTATACTAGACTGGGTCACGAAAATAAGTTTACAATTACTACTCTTAGATTTAAAGCTTCCTTTGAGAGGATTTTAGGGTCATACAAATTCCTTGAAGTTCACTAAGTTCAAATAACAACTTTACTCTTCATAAAATTATACATATTAAGTACGTAAAAAAAAAAATAATAATAAGCAGAAAAGTTAAAGTGACTTAAAATTATTCTTTGAACCGACCTAAGTATTGGTGCTTATGGATAACTCTCCCCACAGACTTCGAGTATCAGAAATCGCAAAAATGGTCAAATTCCAGGCATTTCGAAAGGCACTTACTTGAATTGTTATTAATTTATCTCCTTCACACTTAAGCATCTTCGGACGCCAGCGGGGTCAGATGACTCAAGATACTCAAGGCTAGAGAGGCTATTGGTCTCTGTAAGTTATAAATCGTGAGGCTAATAATCAATTTAGTCTGGCAGCCCTTTGCATCGCGCTAGCCACTACCATAAGGCATGCAACCCATTTAGGCAGAATTTAATAAGTCGCTGTAAACATTAACGCACAACTTACGCTGCAAGAAGTTGGGTTATCAAACAGAACAGAAAAACAACTAGTTGATCAGCATAGCGTCTGTCTAGAAACACAACTCATTTCAGATTGAGAATCCCTTTTCCGCTGTATAAATGAAACGCGCGATCGTTTTTTTTTATTATTATTTAATATTGGAAAAAGATGTTTTATTTCATATTAATATTTATTGTATATTCTAAATGATGGTTTTTGCTCATATTCTTAATTTAATTTTTTATTTTTTTATTTTTTAATTGTTTATCACTTTGTTATGTATAAGTATGTATGTATGTATGCATTTATGTTATCGTAAAGAGTACAGTATGTATATAATAAGTATGGTATACAATATGTATTTGCAAATATCTTGTTCATACGTTCTAGTTATTTATGTATGTATGTAGTAAATATGGGCTTAGAAACTTTTTGAATAAAAACTATAACTATTAAAAACGTATGTATGTACAGTTGTCCACAAAATAATAGGAGTGCGATATTTTGACCAGTTTTGGCTATTTGTCTTTTGTTTATTTAATGTTTATTATTTTTTTATAAAAGCCTAGCTGGCTATACAACAAACACCATATAAATTCAGATTTTAAACTTTGTATAAAAATTATAAAAATTTTGCAATTTTTCACCCAAATTTCAAACTTTTTAATCAGAATCTTTAGAAAAAATTCTGGTATGCAGTTTTGTAGCACATTCAATTCTAGTCTGAAGAAGTGCAAGTTTCAAGCGGCTAAAAAATTCCGTTTATTTTTGGCAATTTTTTTGCTGGCAGTGTCCTCCATATAAAAGAAAATTGTCGACATACTTTGTATGGAAAAAACGTGAAACACCTTTAACCAAAAAAATTCTCACAAATCAACGGAATGTTTTAGCCGCCTGAAACTTACACTTCTTCAGACTAGAATTGAATATGCTACAAAACTGCATACCAGAATTTTTTCTAAAGATTCTGATTAAAAAGTTTGAAATTTGGGTGAAAAATTGCAAAATTTTTATAATTTTTATACAAAGTTTAAAATCTGAATTTATATGGTGTTTGTTGTATAGCCAGCTAGGCTTTTATAAAAAAATAATAAACATTAAATAAACAAAAGACAAATAGCCAAAACCGGTCAAAATATCGCACTCCTATTATTGTGTGGACAACTGTATGTATGTATATTGTTGTATGGTTTATTTCTGCATAATAGCGAAGAGAACAGTTAACAATTAAATATTAGATAGTTTTTTTATATATGTAGTATTATTTTTAATTGTTAATGCATGTACGGTATCGGTCATTCATACATTATCTAAGGCACCCCACTACAAAGTGATATAGTTTGCCACTTCGTTTATTTATTTATTTTTTAAGAATTTTCATTAAAATTCAGTTTATTCTCTTACAAGACCCATACAAACCCAAATTTAAAACATTGTAAAATACTACAAAAAATTTCAATAAATTTTCAGCCAATTTTTTTATATTTTTCTCAGAAGTTTTAGAGTTTTTTTTTTTTTTAGTTCAAAGTTTTATATCTCACTCAATTTTAGTCTGATAATGTGCAAGTTTCAGGTCGCTAAATATTACCGCTGATTTTTTTAGAATTTTTTTTTTTGTAGCACACTGTATTTTAATTTGAAATTCCTAAAAATAAATAAACATAAGCGGCAAAAAATATCACTTTGAAATGGCGTGCTATAGATATGACCGATACTGTAACTAAAGTAATTATTTTGAATAAAAAACAGTTAGAGATGCACACAAGTGGCTGTTATTGAATTTTAAATTTGCCTTTTTTCTGGTTTTTCTTGACAGCTCACATTTTTTTTTTTTTATTTTAGCTGGTTTTTGTGTGAACTGGAAAAAATGTTGTTGAGGAAAATTGGATAAAATTTTTTTCTAAATAGTTAAATTTTTTGTCTATTATTGTGCTGTTGAAATGTTAATTTGCCGCGCTACTTTATGAAAGTGAAGGCGTGTTTTATAAAAATAAGCCATCCAAAATTTTTTGTATAAGATTTATTTTAAAAGCTTTAAGCTTACATACATAAACATACAATATTTCTAAAATGAGTCGCGTGTAGCATATTTAAGTAAGCACTTCGCTGCTATTTAGCGTAACGCTTCCTACGTACATAAGTATGTGTCAGACAGCATTTGACCTTTTTATTTTTCTTTTGCATGCTAAGCATTTTATTTTAAAATGATAACGTTAAAAAGCATTTATTCATACTTATTTATAGATATAGATATTTTTCAACAGTTAAGTTTTTATATATTTTTAAATTTAAACAGTATACTATAAGTTAATGTTGAGCTTAAAATTTACTGAATGTTTTTTTTTTTATTCAATGAAAAAGCGGCGTTAAATAATTTAAAATGTTTTTTTTTATGTTTGAATGTTTGAATTAAATTAATATATATATATTTTTTTTTATTTAAGTGAGTTACTTTTTAGAATGAGAATTTTCGTGGATTATGTGTGTGTATACATACATAAATATTACTAAGTACCTAGTCGCTTGCTTATTAATTTATTTAATATTTATTTATTTTTTATTTTTTATTATTAATATAAGTATGGCATAGAATTTAATTTCAAGAAGTATATTTAAACTAATTAAATGAATTGTAAAATTTATTTAAATATCATAAAATATGTACGCTTGCGTGTAGCATTAAAAAATATGTATTTCATTTATGCATTATTAAAGAAGTGAACAATTAAAACGGAATTGTAGTTAAGAATCTTTTTAAATTTACTTGTTGCAATAAATTTCAATTAAATCTGCGTATGTTAAGCATAACACAACAGCATAAAAGAATATTTAAGAACGTTAAATACATTGATTATAAAATCGTTAGCATAATTGTTTGCTAAATTCTGCGATTTTTTATATGTAATTTTTTTTTCATTACTTAATAATTATTGTTTTTAGTTAACATAATTGGCATTTTACATGTTAAACATTGTTTTCTTTTCTAATGGGGGCATTCATAAAATGTTGTAAGCGTTCTCAAGCGTTGTTAAAATGTTCTCAAATAGTTTACAGCCTAGAAAGCTTAGCTTAAAAACATTTTGTTGTCCATATAAAAATTCACCTGTAAGCATTTCAAATATTATTTTACACACAAAATTTTACGATCTTGCGCCACTAAGTTGCTCACGACGACTTGTGAATTCCCTCATCAAAAATTAATTTCCACTTAAAAATTGTAAGCAAATTTTTGCTCCTATTTTTACAATAATTTCGCGTTCTATACTAAAATTACTTTAGACAAAAAATATATATGTATGTATTTTCATACACTAACTCGTACATGGCCGTGATGACATCGCTGAATCAACAATATTGTATCTTTTTGCATAATTTCGGAAAATTTCTTTATCAATAATTTGCATTTTAATAAACAACAGACATATTCTTTTATTCTTAACATTAAAAAACAAAACTTATTTAAAAAAGGCTTTTTCTTTCCTCCAAGGAAATACTTTTCACATACATATTTTGTAAATATCAAATTTTTTAACATTTGCGCAAATTTTAATTTACTTTTTTTAAAGTGTTTCCTATATAAATTTGCTTGTATGTAAGTATTTTTGTTTACGTGTGTAAGTAGTAGTAATTTTGTCATTTTTCAATTTTTTTTGTTTTATATTTTTAAAGTAAAATAATCCTTTTAAAACTATTTACAATTTCTGCATACTAAAATATAAATGAAAGAATGTTTGGCGGCATGCCTCCCCCCTTTTTTAGTTTCTTTATCTTTTACACTCTTATTGCTTTGTAAGCTGTGACGGCTGTTGGCGGCGTAGGTGGCGACTTGGCTGCTCAGCTGCATATACAGATATATACATATGTATGTATATATATATTTTTTTTAACTCCCTTAATGAACTCTCCCACTTCATCGAAAACTCGCTACAAACACTGCACCTTCCTCACTTTTGTATCGTTTACTGTTTTATTTTTTTTTGTGTAATTTTTGGAATGATCTTGATTACATTTACGCCCTTTAACATGTCTTCCGACTACCTCTTTCCCATTTCCTTATGCACTCCTACTCGGCATCAATATACCTACACCCATTCCGTAAGAAAATATTTCTATCCGCAATATCAGCTGCTCAGCTTCCACATGGAAATTTCCGCTTACATTGCAAGCGTCATTTGTTTTGGTTTTATTTAATTAATTTTAAATGCATTTTTCTTTTTCAAAGTAGGGGTGACTCCATTAGATATAGTTATATAAATATATTAAATATAGTAGTAATAAAAAAGGAATAAGTTTGAATGTACACATACATACATATGTATGTTTTGGTGATTGTGTAACACCGCGCAGCTGATAATGTGCATACAAATATTTCCTTCTGCTTTTCATTTGCACACAGTGCAAACCAAACACTGTTAGCTACGCATGCAAACCCTCTCTCCCACAGAATAATTGCCTAATAAACCTTTCTAAAACTCCCACACTGGCAGTGTCTCTCTCTCGGTCACTGCAGCCGCCGCCGCCGCCGCAAAGACTTTCTACAAAGCCATTAGCATTAATTCGATTTCCTGCCGTCCTCCGGGCACCGTCTTAATTCCAAACGGTTATCGCCTCCACCACGTCCGTCTGGCGACGCACAACACAACAGCTAGCCAGTAAACAAACGCCCACTGCACTAAGCAATCGCTACTTTGCCGCCCTGCCTCACACTCTCTTCCTCTCTCTAATGCTAGTTCGCTGCTCACCCATCTCTCTCTCTCACTCTCCCTCTCTCTCTGCTCGCTTACACCGCAAAATCTCCCTCGCCCCAGGACATTTTATAGTCGTCCATATTGAACAAATCGAATATGTCACCAGCCGCCCCAAAGCTATCACCACCACCCGCTGACGTTACTGCACTCTCTCCCCCCATACCGCTGCCATCGGCATCGCCACCACCGCCCATCATTACGCTTCCCTCGCCGCCAAGTCCATTGGCCATGCCACAAATTGACATTTGTTCACCCATACCACCCAGAGAGGCGTTTGCTTGCATGCCGCAGCTAGAGGAGGCTGTCGCCGGAGCGCCACCAACTCCACTCACCATGCCACCACCTATGCCAAGACCCATATTTGCTTCACCATTAATACAAGCGCCATTCAATATGGCACTGTTACTGCCACCGTCGCTGCCGCTCCCGAATGGATGTGGTGGCGTATTGATATTCGAGTCTGGCGAGAATGTAGAGAAGCTGAAACTGCCTAGCGGATTATCGAAATCATCGCAAACATCCATAGGCGTAGCACTGAAGTGATTAGCGCTGCTGTGACTGTGGCCACGCTCATTTGTGTGTTGGTGGTGGTGATGCTGGTGGCTGTCACTGCTTGAAGCCAGGCTGCTATTGCCATTGTGACAATTGTTGTTGTGTGGACTGCCGCCGTCTGTGACGCTACCAAGGTCATCCAACATACTGCGATTATAATGCGAGAGATTGTTGTTGCTAGCCATGCCACTATGCTCACCACTCGCTTGCGTAAGTTGCGCTACAAAGCTCTCCGCATCGAAGTCTACGTCAGCCACTCCAGCGTGCATTACAGCGCCATTGTTATTGCTGTTATTATTGTGATGCAATGAATGGTATGCGTGTTGTTGCTGGCTCTGTTGTTGCAGTTGCTGTTGTATAAGCTCGTTGATCGATGGCTGCAAGCTTGGATTCATGTCACGTCGCAGTCCATTCAGTGTTTGAGCAGCACCATTTGGTGAGGAGTCGACGCCATTGGCGCAACCAGCCTTGCTGTCGCCACTGGAATGATGTAAGTTCTGATGATGGGCAGGATTAAGGCCAACACCACCACCACCACCGACGAAGTTGCTGGCATCGTCACCGATGTCCATCTCCAGCTGCTGTGACATCAACTCGAGCAGCTCAAACTCATCGAAGTGATTAAGTTTCGCATCTGGGCTGCCCACCGCGTGACCCATAGGCCGCTCTGGCGTGCTCGACGCCTTGCTAAGCATATCGTGGTGCGTGGGCGACTGGTGTTGGTGCTGATGATGATGTAAGTTTATGCCTCCGCCTCCGCCTCCGCTAGTGGGCACAAGTGGCGGTGGTGTGGAATGGTGTTGCTCCAGGAAAATGTCCAATGTATTTGCCACATTCTCGGCATCAATATGTGCGTTGGGCTGCAATGGCGAGGCCATGTCGATATTTTCAATGAAGCCGCTGGTCAGCGCTGAACCGATCCCTGAAGACGGCACATCGCTACCGCTGTTGAACATTTGGAAAACGCTGTCCATATCGCTCTGCGCTTCCCGCCGCTGCTGCATCTGTCGCTGTCGCTGCTGTTGCGTGCAAGGTGTTGTATCCATGGGATGTGTGGACAAACCGCTGTCAGGCATTGGGCTGCTGCGCGGCTCCAGCTTGGGCACCAACGCACCTGAAGCAGCCAACGCATCGGAAGAGGTGCTGGTATTGAATATCAAGTTGCCGCTCATGTCTGTCATCAGTGCATTGCTGCCGCCTGGTGTAAGCGGCGTCACGGGCGTTATGGGCTCCAGCACGCTCTCGGGCAGCTCACCCTGCTTGACGAGAATGTTGAGCACATCTGTCACTTTCTCCGATTTGACAGCGTTCTTGCGCTTGCTTGTGGTCTGCGTGGTAACCGAGTTTGTGTGTGTGTGCGGCGTGCTGCGACCGGTGTTCGGTTCCTCCTTGATTTTGATATGCGCCAAATTGGCCTTGGCCGCCAACTGCTTCGTGGCCTCCTCGTACTGCGGCGGCGGTGGTGGCGGCGGTGGAAGATTTTGTGGTTTTATATCCAAGTGTATGATCTGTTGCGTTGGCTGGAAGGCACGATTGTGGTACTGCTGCTGCTGTTGTTGTTGCTGCTGCAGTTGCAACTGCTGCAATTGTTGTTGTGTAATGACCGGCTTGGCCTCAATCAGCTGCTGTGGCTCGTGCCCTTGCGGCGTGCCGATGGGCAAGAGTATACTGGGCAGCGAGCTGGTGCGCTGATGTCCATTCAGCAGCTTCTTCGTGGCAGGGCTTGCGTTTGCCAGCGAGATATTGCCGATCGTATGCGCCGTCATGTGCTGATCGTTCAACCCGACCAGGAAGATCGTCTGATTGCCCTCGTTCCACACGAGTCCCAAATTGTTGTGCGTCTTTGCCGCCAGCGGTATTTGATTGGCAAGGATTGTTGTTGTAGTAGCATTTGTGTTGGACGCATTGTTGCCCTTTAAATTTGTGTTGCCGATGGTTGAATTCTTCTGTCGCGCTGCGTTTGCCATCTTTTGTGTCCCCATCGTCGTTGTCGTCGTAGTCGCTGTGACTGTTGGAATGAGTAAAGTTTGTGTCTTTTGCGTGGATGTGAGTAGTCGCAATTGTGCCTGCGCTTGCGCCTGCGCCAAGGCTTGAGCCTGCACGTGCTGCGCATGTTGTTTTGCCTGTGTTGCTGCAGCAGCCGCGGCCGCAGCTGCCGCCTGTTTCTGTTTTTGGATCTTCGCCTCCAATTGCTGCTTTACCACCATTTTCTGGCTCATTGCCTGCGGTGTCACCGCAGTTGTATTGGTGGCATTTGCCTTGTGAGCCGCTGCATTAGCCGCGTTTACTTTGGCAGCCTGCGATTTTGCTGTTACCTTGGCAGGTACGGCAATATTTTCTTTTATCTGTGGCAAGACGGTGAGTGGCGCGCAATGTGGTGCCGTTGTGGTGGTGATGAGCGTAATTTGCTGCGTTGGCAGGGCGTTCATCACCTGTGCGGTGACAGTTTGCTTTTGTTGCTGCTTCTGGCGCATCTGTTGCAGTTCTTGTTGCGAACGCTGTAACTGACGCTGCAGCTCGTCGATTTGTCGCTTCTGCTCGCGCACCAAATCGTCGTTCGTCAAAATGATGGTGGCTGCCTGCGGTTTTGGTTGTAGAATCGTTTGTAAAGGTACCGGACGTGGCGAGTCCACGTGCTGCACGATATCCATTTGCTCGTGCTCCAGCGTATGCCGCTCGGGTGACATTGACGCTCCGGTATGCGGGGAATTCACAATCATGGACACGGGCACATCGGACACTGCCGTGTTAGTGGCGTCCATAGCTTCACCCGCGGATATGGAGGCAATCTCTGAACAAGCCGTGGAGGCGGGTGTATTCACAATAGTCGAACATTCGGTCGCGTCTAGTGGCAAAAAAGGTTTTAGGCGTTCAATTAGTTGCGGTTTCGGACCAGAAACAGGCAAATTTCGACGCTTCAGGTGCATTTTCAAGTCCGAGACTTTCATCTTTTCCAATCGAGAAATGTCCGTAGTGGAGCATGTGGACTCAGCGTAGCTGGTAGCCGGGCTGGGCGGTATAGAGGATGCTACGGAGAGTGCCGGCGATGGAAGTGGCGGCGGACGTGGAGTCGAAATAATCGAAAATGTTGAATTAGCTGGTGAGGCTGTGCTGCTCGTGCCATCGCTTGCCGCCGTCACGCTGGACAAAGGTGTGGCTGGCGTGGGAGAAGACAGCGCAGTTGATATTTTCGTTGCTGTAGCAGCTGTTGTAGCCGCTGTAGCGCTGAATTTGGCCACCGTTGTCACCAAACCACCGACTGAACTGGCATTCCCGCCCGTACTTGCCGCAGCGCCTGTGGTTGCCGGCACTATTGTTTGATTCTTGTTGAGCGTTTCGAGAAATTTGAGCAAACAGTTTTGCTGTTCCAACATCAATTGATATGATGTCTCCTCCGGCTGACTGCTTTCGCTGATCAGCTTTTGCGCAGCATTCGGCGGACCCTTGTACTCGTGGAACTTAATCGTGCGCGCCTTACAAGCAGGCTTCGATTTCGATTTTTTCCTGTTCTTCTCCTTGCCCGGTGCATCCGATTTGGCCAGTGACATCTGGCAGCTCAGCGGCGGAAGTGGCGTAAGTGACTGTGATGATGGCGAAGCTATAGAAGACAGTGGACTCAGCGAAGAAATGGTCGAAGTCAAGGAGGCAGGGGAGGACACCATTGGTAGAAAATTTCCGCCAGGACTTGCCGATGGTCCAGCCACAGACTGGCATAGCTCTTCAAATAGATTTGCGGTCTCTTGCTTTACCTTTATGCCGCTGGCAAATGGTACAGGCGGCGGTGGTGGTGGTGGTGGGGGCACAGTAGATGCCTTACTAGCTACCGGCGTGCTGCTTTGCAGCAACGGTGCTGATGTCACAACCACCGGCCCACTGCTAGTAGGTATAGTTAATGCTACCGTAACAACGCCTGCGCAAGCAGCAGCAGCAGCCTGCAAAGCTTCACCCTGACCGACGGGGAGGGGCTGTTCACCTGCGCGTGGTGGCGTCTGGCGTGTGTCACTCTCAGAGCTCTGCGAGTCCTCGTCGTAGGTGACATAACTATGTGGATGCTGTGGACGTGTGAGTAAACCCTCGCTTGTGGCCTTGAATGACACCAAACCCTCTTTGACAATCTTCTCAATCGGCTTTTCGGTGTGTAGGATATTCTTTTTGATAAGTTCAAGCGGACCCGGACGGTGCTGTATCTGTGAATTGAGTTGGTCGGCTAAGCGTGCTTTCTTTAGCATGCGCTGTTTCTCCGCCAAACTCGGATCGATATGACACTCATCTTCCTCCAATATGTGGCGACGTTCCAAATCCTCACGATTTGGTCGCTGTTGTATTTTTGCCTTCAGCAAATCGCTGGTTTTGGCGCGCTCCAATTGTTTGCATTGCTCGTGTATGGCGGGCGAGGTCTTCAAGGCTGTAAGGAAAAAGCACAGTTACGTACATAGTACATGTATATACATTAGAAGAGGTTAAGTAATCTTTTAAAAAGTAAATACATTTTGATATTAGCATATGTAAACAAAAATATATATTCAAATGCAAAGTGCAGTGAAAACGAAGCTAAGTGGTGGAGAGACGTCTATCTGCTGCCTGCTGACATACAAATGGTATGCATGTATGTATGTATGTGTGTTAGTGAAGTGCTAAGCAAGGGCGCCTTAAAATATGCCTTGTCAATCACAAATGCCTGCAGCATCAATTTTCCATCAATCGTTTACTGTGCGAGGAACGAAATAATGAAGCGTATGAGTTCGAAAGTATGCTGCTGCTAGTTAAAATTCAAATTGAGTTTGAATTTCATTTATGCAAACATCAATTTCCCTTGGCAGTGCGTCTGCTTAGCTTTTACGATTAAATCTTTTTGCTAAAGTTTATGTAAACATTTTAAACGAAGTATGTATGTAACAAAAAGCATCGAAGTCTATCGATGAGGTGGATACAAATAGCGAAATTCTATAAATAGATACATGCGTGGTTTATTCAACTTGGAAAGTGGAAACCGAAAGAAAGCTATTTTGGATTAAAAGCAAACCACTTAAGCAACGACTAGAAACATGAAATTGATGTGAATTGGATATACACATATACAAATAAATCATACATTGTGTGGAAGAAAATGTGTAAGACCGTTGACAAAAAAAAATTTAAAAATTAATTAATTTGTAGAAACTTCTAACTTGAATCTGCAAATTCAGCTGCCTACAAAATTACATGCCCGAAATATTTCTAAAAAAATCCTGATAAGTAAGTCTATTTATGAAAATTATTGGAAGTTGTATCAAATTTTCCTAGTTTTTGCACAAAGTTTTTATTGTACTAGGAATCAAATGATTAACCATGGGATTGAGCTCAAGGCTGATAGAGTGGCTCTACCGCATAATCGACCGTCCGATTGTATCTTATGCATCCATAGCATGATGGCAGAAGACACTGCAAAAAACTGTGATACTTCGCCTTAACAAACCTCAAAGATTTGCATGCCTATCCGTGACTGGATCTATAAGAACGTGTTCAACTGCGACTCTAGAATCGTTCCTGGGCTGGACTCATCTCCATATTTTTATCCAGGAAACAGCAGCCACAAGGGAGCTGTAACTTCGACTATCTAACGCCGGCTTCTTAACAAAGGAGTTTCATGCAGGTATTCTAGGAAAGATACCAGTATTGGAAATATGAGGAATCTCTGATTCCATGACCAAAGAGGTTTGCTCTGGCAGAAAGTTCCAAGTGAGAATACCAAATCGCGAAGATTGGGCAAAAGGGCTCCCTGCAATTGATCTCAAATACGTACACTGGTGCACAGACGGTTCAAGGATGGAGGACAAAGCAGGTGCAGGTATTTTTGCCTCTAGCACCAAACTTGCAATTCCCATGGGCAAATGGGCCACGGTGTTTTAGGCTGAAATAGTCGCAGTTTTAAACGGCGCAAAGTTAAACATTGAAAAGGGTTTAAAGGCCGCCTTTCTAGTTGTCTTTCCAGATAGCCAAGCAGATATCCGGGCCCTTTCGAACAGGACTATGAAATCCAAGCTGGTTAGAGACTGCTTTGACACGCTGCAAAAAAAACCGTAACACTGTGCTTGGTACCAGGTCATTGTGGAATCGAAGGCAACGAGGGCGCCGACGAGTTGGCATGAAAAGGATCGCTAACTGCCTTTTCGGGACCTGAACCATTCTGTGGTCTCAGTTGGTCCTCTTCGAGTGCCATAATTACTGAGTGGGTACACTCGGAACGCAGTAAGTACCAGGGAGCGGTGGGATCCTTAGATAGGTCAGGCCAAACTCTTCGGCCATCCTTTCAACAGAAACGACAATGTTTTAGTAAATATAAAGGACATCAAGCAACTTCCTGGGTACCTGACCTGGGATCCCACTTGCACAGACTTTTATACTGCTGCTGGGGAAAAGCGAAAAAGGGCGTACTTAAATAAAAACAATTCTTCACTTACATAAGTACATTATATGGATGGTATATATATGTATTTTATCTTAAGTTGAAATATTTGTAATTCCTCGATAGTATAGTGGTTAGTATCAGCACCAAACTCTCTTCACATACGCAGTTGTTTTCCAAAAGCAAGTAACATAAAAAAATACTACACCTACACCAACACGAAACACAGCAAACTTAAGAATATACAAGTTGAATACTCTAGAAAAGTAATTTTCAAACCGATACCAATACTTTGAAATACGAACAACCCACTACGTAGAAATTTATAATACTTAAATAAAATGCCAAAGTACTCCGCGTATATACTTACGTGGTATGATCCCCTGTTCGACGAGCTGTGAATGTGGTCTTCTCACCATTAGTTTCACTTTAAGCGCTGCATCGACCAACCAAATCGTAAAAGTAACCACATATCAAAGGATTTGCGATGTAAGTCAAGTCACAAGTGACCGAACGTTTAGCGTCGCGCGATGACAAGTCAACATTATCATTTGTTGTATTTGTTGATAAAAGCGTTTAAGCGACGTAAAGCAGCACATTCATTAATAAGAGAAAGAAGAGAAAGAAAAACATAGTAATGTATGAGTACAATATAAGCTGGTAAATAAGGGGGGCTTTGAAATACACACACACACATACATACATACATACATACATGGTAACTTAAATATAAAATAAGTAGACGCGCCGAGATTTATTTACTAGAACATTTAGGAGTCACTGAAAAGTAACTTTTAAAGCAAGCTGAACTTTCAGTGATTTAAATTGCAGTAAATGTAGTAATAAAGTAATTTTGTGTGACTTAAAAGCAAAAGTAATGGAAATGGCCAGGAAACCCGGATGGCAATAAAAGACAAATTAAATTAGAAATAATGAAAACATTGAATTTTGATATCCGCCCAAACAACTTCCTGACAGAACAAAAACCACAAATTAATGGGGAGCCAAAGCATTTTATGAAAACAGTGCGAGTGTAAATAATGGCAGTTGGTGAACTGTGACATACGATAAAACGTTGAACTTCGAGACAAATACATGTACATATGTATGTATATATGTATGAAACAAATTGCCATTGAGGTGGCACAAAATATCAAATAGACAAGTGTAATAGGAATACAAGATTTATGCGAACAAATACAAAGCAATTATGATCTAAATCAGGAAGATACAGCTGCAGGAAAATGAAGGAAGAGGAGGTATTAGTACATTAGACTGTACCACCTTAAAAGCAAACAAAAAAAGTTACTCTTATAGTTGATTCCTACCAAGCCTTAACCGCAGTTTATGCCTATTGGAAAAAGGAGATTACAACACGAAGGGGGTAATTCCTATTATTTATAAGTAAACGAAAGGAAAAAAGCAAAATTAAGAAATAAACCTTGCCGGTCACCCCATGTTAAAATTCTTGGAAGTCTAAAATATTTTGCCAAGTCAATTAAAAAAATAAAAATAAAAATTTGCAAAACCTAGGGGTTGTTTTTTTTTTTAATTTTCCAGTGACACCTAAGTATGTATATTCAGTAAAAGGGATTTTTATAAATATTTCTACTGAAATAATTACAATTCTTTCTTTTGAAGAGCTTTACGGGGCTACATTTCTACTGTAATAATTACAATACTTCATTAGCAAAAGTTTAATGATTTTTGAAGAGCTTTACAGGGCAATTCTGGCTAATATAGTTAAAATTCTTTCACAAGACAAGTGAAAGACAGATGGCAAGATAGTTCAAAAGACTTACTCTTATTCTACATAGCACAAAAGTCTTAGAAAAAAGCCCTCTCATTCAGCACCCATAGTGATATAAGCTATTTTGCCAGAAAGCACTTGTATATCATTTTGTACCGCTCCAACAGTCCCAATAGCCGAATGTGCAAAGCACTGGGGTGCCATTCGGGGGAGCGGATTTTTATTCTTTTTCCTACTTTAATTTTTTTAATTTAATTTTTTATTATTGATTTAATTGTCCTAAAAATTAAAATATTTAAAAAAAAAATTGTAATTTAATTTGATTTCTATAAACTTATTTTATTTTAGTTTTAATTTTTAATTGCTTTAAACAGAAAGATATATTTGTAATTTCATTTAATGTTTAAATAAATATTTTTTATTAATTTTTGTTTCCTTTCCTAATATAATTTTCTTTTAATTTTAAGATTTTAATTTTTTAGAAAGAAAAATATTTCATTTTTGATAAAATTTTTATACTTTTATTTTTTAATTACCATTTTTTTCTCTTATATTAATTGACGTTTTTTCCTTTTTAGTTTAAATTACTTTCTATTTTTAGACTTGACTTTTTTTAAAGAAAAATACTTTTTTAAATTTAGTTGAATGTTAAGGAACTTTTTAGTATTTTTTTTACTTTAATTTTCATTTTATTTTTAGATTTGGTATTAAAAAGAATTATAAGAATATTTTTTTAACTTATGTAAATTTTAGGACTTGAATTTTGTTATCTATTTTTACTTTTTAAATTTCAGGTCCTTTGAAATCCGACTATAAGTGCCGAAGATATGACGAAAAATTACAAAGGTGACCGCTACATTCGGCCAAAAAATAATAATTCCAAGTTATTAAAGTTTAATGATTTTTGGCGAGTTTTAATTTACTGAAATTAGGATGGCTTGGTGGGTAAGTACTAAAACGGCGTATTTAAGGCCAATGAATTTTGAAACAAAAAATTTTTCCCCCTGAGTCAAGAACATCGATATATCGCACTTTAAGATCCGACTTTACATGCCGAAAAAATCTCAACAAAAAAAAATTTAGAGCACAGTCTAATATACATACATACATATATGCATGTAAATATTTCGTCAGTGGTACGAAGGACGATGGGTATACAATTTTTTCTTATTTTTTCAGGATATATTCTTTTAAGCATGTAAGCATTTTTCAATGGTAGGCCAGATCTGACCCAGCTAATTTTCCTAAGGAATGGAAAAAGCTGGCAAAAAGCTTGACAATTAGCATATCTAGATCTGTGCTTAAATAAAACAAAGGGAATTTGTCTAAACAAGGAAACCACGTCGGTGACAAGATAAGCGGCATCAAGGAAAGAAACGAAAATTACCAAAAAAAAATAATAAAAAAATTGTCAAAATAAACAACGAGCCTTTTCTCGGAACAAAATTTCTACTACAAGCAAATAGCAGTAAATAGTCAACAGATTTTCAGGAAAAGTATGAGCTATGTCAACCCACACGAAACAATAAACACCCTCGCCCTGTGAGTGGGGGGGGGCATTGAGTGCGCCAAAGCGAAACGAAAATTAAGGAATTAAAATGCAGTAAAATATGCTTCAACACATTTGAGCAAGCAAGCGGACTGAGAAGCGAAAATAAACAAATATTAGGGCAAAGTCAGTGTCAACTTTTTAATTTATTTATTTACATACATATTTAGACTGCGTGAAAGTAAAATTTTGGTAGCATAGAACGCAGTTGTCAAAGTTGTGTAGAAGAAGGACCACTAATAGCCTTAATAAAGAGAGCGGGGTGCCAAGCAGTGGCGTACAAGTTATTATTTTTATGACGTGTTAAGACAGAGCAGCAGCAGTAACGTACAAAGTACGCTGTTTGCTTTAGCGTCATAACAAGGTTAAGGAGCATAAAACGAAATTAACACATACAAATTTTTTTTTTGGTTTGTTTTTGATTGGTGGGCGAATGAGTTTACGCGATTCGAGATTAATTTGTTGTGCTTTGAGGGTTTTCAGTGAATTTATGCTTTAAAAAAAACATTAAATCATGGGACCGACGATTTTTCCAAGCGTTTCAAATAATTTAGGTCTGACTTTTATTCGAGATTAAGGTTGCTCATACGCAGTGGTGTACAGAATTGCGTAGAAGCAAATTAAATTTGATACATTTCTATCAAATTCTTAAACATAAAAAATCGCAAATCATTATAAATATCACCCAAAAGGCATAAACAAATGGAAAATAAATAAAATAAACACAGCTAATTATGGCAATGACGTCAGACATTTGGGGAAATATGTTGAAATAAATTTAAATCAGTGCCACTGCGTATGAATATTGCTTAACAAGCTACTAGGAAATAATATCTATGCCTTATACAATACACACGAATTTGTGCCATTTTCACGCACATTCATAGGTATGTATGTAAATGCAACACTTATGCTTTTCTGTATAACGCTAAGAACAAAAAAAAAAAACAACAAAGCACACTTCACTTAAATTTCGCTGCCGACAACCAAAATGAACAAACATGTCATAAGTATTCAAATTTAAGTGAAAGAAAAAAAATTTAAGTACTTAAGTGGGAAACTTAGCCGCAGCAGGTCGCCTTGAATGAATATCACAGATGTGTTAAGGAAATACAGCAACAAATATTAGAAAAAACAAATACTAAGAACAGAGGTCGAGGAAGAGAAGTAGACACCGTTGAGAGTGAAATTGTTAAAAAAAAGAAAGAATTAAAAAAATATATATATGTACATACGTATATATGGAGCGGCTCAAGTTTTATCTATCTACGTGAAAGCTAATGGCGGATTTTCATTAGGTACTAAAATGATAAAATTCCCAAAAAAATGGGCTGAGAAACAGATTAATTTCGTTGGTCTCAAGAATCAAAAAATATGTCCGATGGCGAGAATGTAAATAGGGAAATGACATTTAAGCAAGTTTTCTTTGTTTAAAAAATATTTCTGAATTTCTATGAAAATATAGCTTACTATCTAAAAAAAACATGTTATCAAAATTTCAAAAAAAAAAAAGAAAATTTATAAAAATTCAACGACTTTTTAATGTTGATAAAAATTTTTAACTTTTTAATCAAAATTTTGAGAATTTTTTAGTATGCAGGTTATAGCTTATGGCATTTTATTTTTTTTTTTTTGTAGAAGGTGTTGCTCAGAAATCTATTTAAAAAGCTCAAAAATGTTGATACAACTTTGTCGAATTTTACTAATTTCTGTAGAAAGTTTCAATTTTTGACTTACATGGTTATATGACTCACATAGCTATACTTTCGTACAAAAATAATAAAAATTAAATAATCGAAAGGAAAATAGAGACAAGGAATGCTAAAATGCTATTTATAATGTAAAAATAGTTATTTTTTTTTTTTTGTAATTAACTTTTCTATTTTTAATCATATTAAAATTTTGTATTGAGTTTGAGACCATTTTTTATGAAATGGCAGCTATAACTTCTATCTTTTATAAACTGTTGTTGTTTTTTCCACAATAATTTCTCATAAAAAATTAATTGAATAAAATATTGTTCGAAAGACATTATCAGCAAACAAAACTTAAAAAAAGCAAAGCTTTTTTCTTCAAACTTGCCGTTAAAATTTTGATGAAAGTTTTAAGGGGTATGTACACTGTTGGCCGAAATAAT